CGAGTACAACCCTTCTAGGGTTTGCTAGTTGTATCCTCATTCCTTGTAGTTCAATCCTCTTTTCTTTCTTCTAATTTTGTCATGGTATCAGAGCAGGTCGATCCTCTTGGATCGATCCTGTGGGTGGGTTACCACCTCCACGCTTCCGCTACAACTTTCTCCTTCCCGCCGTGCGCCCCGAGGCACGCGGCGGTTTTCTGCCCGCCGTGCGCCCCGAGGCGCACGGCGGTTTTCTGCCTGCCGTGCGCCCCGAGGCGCGCGGCGGTTCTCTGCCCGCTGTGCGCCCCGAGGCGCGCGGCGGGCGTCTGCCCCGTCGTTCGTCGCGTCGCCTTCTAGAGGCGCCGCGACGGGCGACGGGGACCCGTCGCGGCCCCGCTGCCCTACCTTCGCGGCCCACCCGCCGCCCTACCTTCGCGGCCACCCGCCGCCCTTCCTTCGCGGCCACCCGCCGCCCTACCTTCGCGGCCCACCCGCCGCCCTACCTTCGCGGCCCCGCCGCCCCTTCTGTCGCGGCCTCGCCGCCCTACCTGCGGCCCGTCCCCCTACCTGCGGCCCCGGCCCCGTGCCCCTACCTGCGACCCTCTCAGGCCCGTGGTGGGCCCCTTTCTCCACCCCCCGAAATGGCGCTGAGCCGCAGAGGAAAACGGTACATACCAATAATGATCGAGCACATGTAAAAATGGGTAGAGGTGAGAGCGTTACCTGGTAAAAACTCGGCGCGCATAGTAGAAGCTTTCGAGGAGCAGGTGCTCACAAGATGTGGGGCGTGTGGAGAAGTGCTGCAGGATCGGGGGACAGAGTTTTGGGGTGAGTTTGAGAAGCTGCTGGTAGAGACAGGAATCACACACCACAAAGCCTCAAAGTATCACCTATAGAGTAACGAGTAAACAGAGAGGTTTGTATAGAAGGTGAAAAGAGGGCTGAGAGCCGATGGGGAGAGGTACAAGAGGGACTGGGATGCGAGGCTTCTGTCGGTAGTGGTGGGGTACAAACAGGTTGCATTGAGAGACGTGTCCCTATAATACATACTCTTAGAAAGGGAACAAATGCTGCAAGTAGATGCGCCTAATATTCTGATAGAGACAGTGACAGCAGGGAGCGAGGAGAAGTGGGAGGGAGGTCCTCAGCTACAATGTTCGTGATCTACGTAGAGCCCGCCATATCGAATTCTAGCTATGCTGGGTCAGAGGGTCCAAAATCGAAACGTATCCAGTCGTGACATGTTGAGATTAGAGAGAGGAATGAGTGCACTATGAAATGAAACGAGTACAAGTACCAACCCTAATTGGGTTGTACCCCCTATGGGCTACCCCACTACAGCCTAAATATATGCATCAGCAATATAATCATCTGACACACCCCCATAGGCAAAGTGGGGGAGAGCAAGGGGTCACAAGACCAGTCAAGCAAAGCAAAGCAAAGCAAGCTCAGGGTGGATCTCAAGGATACCACACAAATTCCGAGCACAAGGTCAAGGCCACAAGGCCACTTCACATGCAGCAGAGCATATATATATATAACAGTGCTAAACAAGCAAGAGCAAGGATATATATATGCAGCAGTACAAGCAAGGTCAAGAGGTAAGCAAGTGAGGCCCAGTGGGCACAAGGCCTAGCAGAGTGCAAAAGCGCTGATGGTCACGAGGCGGAAGTGCCTTGGTGAACACATCAGCAATGTTGGCCTCAGTGGCCACGAAACGCAGGCGAAGCTGACCACGCTGCTGCAGCTCTCGAGCAAGGAAGTAGCGCAGAGCAATGTGCTTCGTCCTGTGCTCCAGTCTGTGCTCCTGACACAAAGCAATGGTTGCCTTGTTGTCGACGTACAGCACTGGAGGAGAACGAGGCCGCTCTCCAAGGTCAGTCAGCAGGTAGGTGAGCCAGCGAAGCTCCTGGGCAGCCATGGCCATGGCGTAGATCTCAGCCTCACAGCTGGAGCTGAGAACCGAAGAAGAGCGAGTAGAGCGCCAAGAGACAGAGCCAGAGCCAAGACTGAAGGTGTAACCCTGAGACGACCTCTGAGTAGCCTGGTCATCAGCCCAAGAAGCGTCCGAGTGCCCAGTGAGCACAAGCCGCTCACGCCCTCCAAGCACTAGCCCCATGCCCGACGTACTGCACAAGTAGCGCAACACCCTCTTAGCTGCATCCATGTGCTCCTTCCGATGACGGCAGGGAGCAACATAGCGTGCTAAGATGCTGAGAGGGTATGCGAGGTCAGGTCGAGTGCAGGTCATCAGGTACATGAGGCAGCCCACAAGCTCTGGATACGGACCACTCGGCTCTACGGACTCATCCGAAGGCGGAGCTGAGAGCGAGTGGCCCGTAGGCAGAGGAGTGGACTGAGGCGAGGAGTACGTGAAGCCGAAGTGCTGAAGGACCTGTTGCACCATGTGTGACTGAGTCAGGGTAATGGTGCGGCGTGCTCTGTCCCGGGTGATTCGCAAGCCAAGAAAGCTTGTCAGTTCACCCAGGTCTGTGCACGTGTGTCTCTTCTGCAGCTCAGACTTCACGTGGGCGAGTGCGGCAGTGTCCGCAGTGGCAAAGACCAAGTCGTCGACATACACGAGGATGTAGAACGGCGGCAGCGAGGTGTCGGTGCGCAGAAACAGCGACGGGTCTGCAGTAGAAGGAGCAAACCCAAGAGCCGCAAGTGTAGTCCTCAGTGTGTCGTGCCACTCACGCGGCGCCTGGCGAAGACCGTAGACTGGCCGCCGGAGGCTCCACTGGGTACCAGGAGGGAACGACCCAGTGAAGCCAGGAGGGCGGCGCAGCCAGATCTCCTCGTGCAGGCGGCCCTGCAGGAAAGCAGTGCTGAAGTCAAGAGAGTGTAGCTTGTAGTCTCGCTGAGCAGCGACGTGTAGTAGAACCCGAAGAGTGGTCATCTTCGGGGTCGGGGAGAAGGTCTGAAAGAAGTCAACTCCCTGTCGCTGACTGAAGCCACGAGCCACGTAGCGCGCCTTGAAGACAGGCGGAGAACCCGGCGGCCGCTTCACCCTGAAGATCCACATGCCACTGACAATGTTCGCCCCAGGAGGGGGAACAGCGTCAACGTAGGTGCCTGTGGACTTCCAGGAAGCAATCTCTGCGTCCATGGCTGACTGCCACTAAGAGGAGTAGGGACCGGCCATTGCCTATGCGTAAGAGCATGGGGTCGGGATGTCTAGAGCATCCGGGTCTCCCTCAGGGGCAACAAGCATGGACACGAGATGGGGCAAAGCGGCGGCAAAGCACTGGAGCTCCTCCTGCCTGTCCTCAAGGACGTCCGTGCCAAGAGCACAGTCACCCCCGACGGACGGAGGACAGGCAGACGCAGACGCAGCAGACGGAGACTCAGTAGACTCAGCAGACTCAGCAACAAGACTGGCAGCGTAGTCTAGGCGACACGCAGCAGCAAAGTCGACCAGCTCAGCAACTAGGGAAGACGCAGCAGCGGACTCAAAGGAAGGGTCAGTGACAAGAGAGGCAAGAAGACGCGTGACAGTAGGACTGGCAGCACGGCAAGAGTCCGGCTCCGGGTCGGCAAGTGGAGGAAGAGAAGACTGAGGAGGAGAAGGCAAAGGGGCACGCAGAGGAGCAGTGGACGGACGCAGAGACATCTGGTGTGTGCCAGGGATAGGAGGAGGACGCTGACGCGAACCGCGACCACCAGGGCGAGCAGCTCGGACCGGCGACGCAGGGCGGGACGCAGGCTCACGACGCTCAGCAAGACCTCCAGTAGGACCAGTGTAGGGAGAAGGAGAAGGCAGGGGAGAGGCGGGCTGTAACTGTGACTGCGACGGGACATGCTGTGGACACTCTACGGGAGGAGAAGGACCAGTGGAGGGCGGGAGACCAAGAACCTGCTGAAGGAGCGGAACGAAGTACGGCCGAGGCCGCGCAGCACCGCCAGAGACAGCAAGGACAGCACCAACACCTCCAGAGGCAGCACCAGCACCAGTAGCAGCTCCAACACCAGCACCTCCAGCAGCGCCAGAAGTACCCTCAGTAGGACCGACAGTCGTAGTCTCAGCGCCAGCACCCGCAGCAGCTCCAGCTCCAGAGGCACCCCCGGGCCCGGCAGCTCCAGTACTCTCAGTACGAGCACCTCCGGGACCCGTGGTACCAGCTCCCTCGGCAGCAACAGAACCTCCAGCACCCGCAACACTCCCAGCTTCAGAAGCTCGCCTCCAGCGCCGGGCAAACCACTCACGCAGCTCCAGAGGAGAGAGCGGCTCGCGGCGCGAAGAACGGTCCGGAGAACCACGAGGAACAGAAGCAGCAGGCGCAGCACTCCCAGACGCAGTACCCCCAGGCTCAGCACCCCCAGGCTCAGCACCCCCAGGCACAGCACCCCCAGGCACAGCACCCCCAAGCTCAGCACCCCCAGGCTCAGCACCCCCAGGCTCAGTACCCCCAGTCTCAGCGCCCCCAGGCTCAGCACCCCCAGGCTCAGCACCCCCAGTCTCAGCACCCCCAGGCTCAGCACCCGCACCAGCACCAGAGTCACTAGTGACCTCAACAGGCTCGACCGCGTCTACCTGAGACACACTTGAAGGGGCAGGACCCTGAGGGGGGAGGGGGTCTACCGGGGGGGGACCTGGGACCAGGAAGAGGGGCGGCGGGGGGAGGGACGGAGTGCGGTAGGGGAAGAGCCGGTAGAAGGGAACCGACTCGTCGAACGTGACGTCCTGGGAGGACAGAACACGACGAGAGGTGGGGTGGTAAAACTGCCACCCAGGTGCGTCAGGGGGGAAACCCAGGAAGACGCAAGGAGCAGCACGAGGGGACAGCTTGTCCGCAGACAAGTCGCGGACAAACGCCCGAGATCCCCAGACACGGAACGCCGACGCATCGCCAACCTTCCCCGTCCACAGCAAAGTTGGGGAGGTCTCCGGTCTGGAGACCCTGGGCTGAAGGTTGATCTGATGCGCGGCGTACCGAACCGCAAACGGCCACAGAAAGTGGGGGGCAGCCGCATGCACCATGGACGTACGGGCGACGTCCATGACAATGCCTATGCGGCGCTCAGCAATCCCATTCTGCTGTGGAGAGTCCGGAAGCGTGAAGGTCTAGTTGGATGCCTCTTGCCCGATTGTAGGCTCGCAGAAGGCCAGAGGAGAACTCTCCGCCTCTGTCCGAGTGCAGACGCAAAACAGGAAAGTCCGAGCCGAAGCTCCGCCTGAGCTGGAGACGAGATGCGCGGATCCAGTCGATCAACACCTCAGTGACCTCACCCTTGCTGCGCAAGGGGAAGACTGTGGTGTAACGCGAGTAGTCGTCAACCACCAGCAGGAAGTAGCGCTCGTGACCCTGTCCACGGACGCGGGCTGGGCCCCACACGTCCATGTGAAGCGTCTGCATCGGGGCCTCCGTCGGAGGAAACGGGGAGGAGTGAGGAGTAGCCCGCAGGCGACCCTCGACACAGGGGACACAGGGAGGGCCAGGGCCCGGAGGAAGGGGAGGGAGGGACCGGGGAAGGCCCGAGACAAGAAGGCGAGAGGCCATGCCCCGGAGACGAGGCAGGGAGGGGTGACCCATCCTGTGGTGCCACAGGAGGGTCTCGTGGGACAGGAGGCGACACGAGCAGGGAGCAGACTCAGGACCAGACCTGGACGCTGCAGCAAACACCTGACCCGACGCAGCTACCTGACCAGACGTAGGAGGAGGAGACGGAACAGTGAGTGTGTAAAGGCTCGACCCCGGCCCACGTGTGAACGTGGTCAAGTGTCGACCCGTGTCCGCGTCCGTGCAGTGGGTGTCCCGTCGGCGTGCAGGGGTGAACTGGTCAACCCCTGCATCCTGTAGGTCAGCACCCGCCACCAAGTTCGTAGAGAACGAGGGGAGGTAGAGACCGGACAGGGAGCCAGACGGGACCGCAGGGCACGGAAGGACAGTGGAGTAGCGAGCCAGAACAAGACCCCCAGAGGGGTCCGCCAGGGAGACCGCCACGGGCTGACTAAGCGGCGTGAGAGTGGTGCGGTCTCGAAAGAAGGAGTGAGACGCTCCTGAGTCAAGAGTGAAGGTGAGAGAGGGCGGAGCCGACGCTGTACCTGAGAGAGCTGACTCACCAGCACCTGGGGACACAGACTCACTGGCACCTAGAGCAGCAGCCTCAACAGCACCTAGAGCCGCAGTCTCAACAGCACCTGGAGCAGCAGCCTCAACAGCACCTAGAGCCGCAGTACCAATGCTCGGGTCGGGCGGGAAACACCGGTAACAGTCACCCTCCTCACTAATAGTCACAGCATACATGGCACGAAGAATAGCATCAAAGTCAAGATCAAAGATAGCTACTCCTGCCATAGACAGCTGGTCCCAGCGAGGGATCTCAGAGGCATCAGGAAACTGGCGGCGCCAGGCGTCAATCAGGCGGCCAAAGCAGCGCTGGGCGGAGTGTGGACCACCACACGGCTCACCCGCACGGTCGCCAGTGCGCAGGACGTAGGTGCACGGACCAGGACCCCCACCCCTCTGACGTGCAGCGTACCACTCACGGAGCTGCTGCGGGGAGAGGGTCTCCTGACCACGCTGCTGCTGCTGGCGCTGACCACCACCGGAGCCACTCCTCCGCGACGAGCCACGACCTCCGCCGCCTCCTCCGCCGCCTCCTCCGCCGCCGCCGCCACCACCTCCGCTGCCACCGCCACCCCCACCGTCGCCGCCGCCACCACCGCCTCCGCCTCCACTCCCACCACCACCGCCGCTGCCGCCCCCGCCTCCACTGCCGCCGCTGACACCTTCACTCCCGCCACCACTCCCGCTACCACCCTCACCTCCTCCGCTGCCTCCACCGCCGCCTCCACCGCCCCCGCCGCCTCCCCCACCGCCCCTGCCCCCCTTGCCCTTGCCAGAGCGACGTCTCCCGCTGGGGGCAGACGCCGCACCGACCGACTCAAAACCAACGAGGTCGGTCGTGGCAGCAGAGGCGACAGAGGGCAGGAGGGGGGAGGGGGAACACCCCTCAAAGATGGGGGTGCGCGGGTCACCACGAGAGGCCCCTACAGCGAGAATACTCTTCTCGGCTGCTAGGAGGGACTTCTCGAGGAGTTCAACAGTGAGAGTGGTGGGGCAGACTGAGAGTAAGTCGTCCCTGACTCCGCGAAGGGAGTCAGGGAGGCGGGTGACAATGTAGTAGAGAGTGAAGTACTGGGGGGGGGGGGTTCTTGGCGCAGAACTCAGCAGGAAGTGCAGCGCGGAAGCGAGCGTCACTAGTGCGCAGGTGGGTAATGAGGTCGGCGACTGTGGCAAAAGAAGCAAGGTCGGGAAAGAGGTACGGTAGCATGAGGCGGCTCAGTGTAGCAGTGGCAGGGGTGGAGTAGCGTGCAATAACGGCGTCGTACAAGGTCTGAGCACTCTTGTACGACCCAAAGTGTGCACGCTCAGAGGGAGGGAGGTGGCGACGCACAGCAAGACGTGCAGCAGCATCGCGAGTGGCCCACTGTGAGCGAACAGTGGCATCCTCAGTAGTAGCAGGGGCGGGAGAGGCACCAGAAGTGAGATCAAAGAGAGAGAGGCCGTCAGCTTTGTCGCACTGTAGGAAAAGCAGTAGGTCGTCTACCCACACGTCAAAGTCGATGGCTCTGCCCTCAGCGTCAAAGGTGAGGACACTGGGGGTAGCCATTGTCGAGAGTAATAGAAATGAAGAACAGGAGTTGAAAGGTGGGGCCTAGGCTTAGTAGCCTAGGCCCTAACTAGGTATCGAGCGGGTTTTCCTTAGGAGCGATGTCGAGTGAGTTGTGAGAGAGAAAATTGGAGAATGTGTTTGCACTATAGCATTCGAAGTACATATAGCAAAGGAACACATGAAGAGGTGCACCACCTACAAATTTAATAACTACACTACAGCTAGAACTACATGCAGTTATAATAAATATAATTCTGACATCCCCCCGTAACTGCATGCAGGAATAGCTAAGTGCCAAGCACAACCTGCAGAGGTACACCAACGAGCAATAAAACAAGCAACAGCAGGTACTGCAGGCGGGCTAACTTTGAAAGGTTACCCCCTCCATCTCCTCACCCTCCTCCTTCCCCTCCCCCACACTGCTGCAGAAGCAGCAGAGAAGGGGGGGAGAGAGGAGAGGTGGAGGGACGGCTGCTTGTTGCCTCACACCCGCCACCCCGGTACCACTCCCCCTGCTCACCCACATCCTCACACCCTCCCCCCCCAGCGGCAGCTGCAGCGGTGGGACTGAAAGAAGGAGGAGGGGAAGGGAGAGAGTTGACCCCACGCTCCAACACCCTCCACCCCCATACCCTCCTCCCCACGGCTGCAGGGAGACAAGAGAAAGGGGGGGGTGGGAAGGAAGAAAGCCGCAGAGCGGCGAAGAGGCGTCGGTGCAGATGGGTCAGGGGCGGCAGCAGGGAGTGCAGGGGCGGAGAGGCCCGTCGCGGGCCAGTGCCACGGGGCGCACGACGGGTAGGATAAAAGGGCCCGATCGTGTGCCTCGGGGCGCACGACGAGCAGGGCACCATCATGTGCCTCGGGGCACACGATGGGCAGATAAAGGGCACCGTCGCGTGCCACGGGGCGCGCGACGGGCAGGGTAGGAGTCACACGCCCGTGGGCGGGACAAGGTAAAGAATAAAATCGTCACGCGCCCTAGGCGCGCGACCGTAAAATTTTAGCAGCGGAAGTAAAGCGGGCCCACAGGCCAGGACGAACTCAGCTCCGATAACATGTCGAGAGTAATAGAAATGAAGAACAGGAGTTGAAAGGTGGGGCCTAGGCTTAGTAGCCTAGGCCCTAACTAGGTATCGAGCGGGTTTTCCTTAGGAGCGATGTCGAGTGAGTTGTGAGAGAGAAAATTGGAGAATGTGTTTGCACTATAGCATTCGAAGTACATATAGCAAAGGAACACATGAAGAGGTGCACCACCTACAAATTTAATAACTACACTACAGCTAGAACTACATGCAGTTATAATAAATATAATTCTGACAGCCATGACAGCAGTAGGGTGAGGGCAGTGCACAGAGTAAAGCTCAATGCTCACCGGACAGGGCAGTGCAGGCGGCTCGGGCGGCTCGGGCGACTCGGGCGGCTCGGCGGCTCGGCTGCTGGGCGGCTCGGGCGGCTCGGCGGCTCGGGCGGCTCGGGCGGCTCGGCTGCTGGGGCGGCTCGGCTGCTGGGGCGGCTCGGCTGCTAGGGCGGCTCGGCTGCTGGGGCGGCTCGGCTGCTGGGACGGCTCGACTGCTGGGGCGGCGGGGCCGGGAGATGCAGCTGCGGGGCCGGGAGATGCAGCGGCGGGGCCGTCAGGAACGGCAGCGGGGCCGGCAGGTGAGACTGCGGGGCCTGCAGATGAGGCGGCGGGGCCGGCAGGTGCAGCAGCGGGGCCGTAAGGGGTAGCGGCGGGGCCGGTAGGTGCAGTGGCGGGGCCGTCAGAGGGGACGGCGGGGCCGTCAGGTGCAGCGGCGGGGCCGTCAGAGGGGACGGCGGGGCCGTCAGGTGCAGCGGCGGGGCCGTCTGAAGCAGCGGCGGGGCCGGCAGAGGGGACGGCGGGGCCGTCGGGTGCAGCGGCGGGGCCGGCAGAGGGGACGGCGGGGCCGTCAGGTGCAGCTGCGGGGCCGGCAGTGGCGACGTCGGGGCCTGCAGAGGCAGGCGAGGAGGCCGCGTGGGCGGCGCTAGGGGGCCGCGAGGGCGGCGCTAGGGGGCCGCGAGGGCGGCGCGACGCAGCAGAGCCGCGAGGGCGGCGCGACGCGGTCGTAAGGCCAGCGCGACGTGGCCCAGGCCGCGCGCGCGAAAAAAAAAAGGGTCGCGCGCGCGACTCGCGGGGGCCACAAGGGCAGCGCGAGAAGGACAAGGGGGGAGCGCGCTTCGGGGAGAGAAGGGCGTGCTCCGGGCAGCGAAAATTTCGTGAGTGGGCCCGTAAAAAATGGTCCTTAGGAAGGACCTGCTCTATACCATGTTGAGATTAGAGAGAGGAATGAGTGCACTATGAAATGAAACAAGTACAAGTACCAACCCTATTTGGGTTGTACCCCCTATGGGCTACCCCACTACAGCCTAAATATATGCATCAGCAATATAATCATCTGACATGACAGACTACCTTCGCAGTAGATTTCTCTGCGATGTCAACGCACTTTTGTAAAAGCCTCCCTCGGGGAGAGGGGTAGCGTAAGGGATCATAATTTCCTTACTGTGCGTCACCTCACATACCGCGTACAACACTATTCCCACCATCACAACCAAACAGTGTCCCTTAACCACCTCGCGACATTCGCCTCAACTACTGTTCCTGCCACCACGACCGTCGCGCCCAAACCACTTGGCTCAATTAGTATCTCCTGATACGACCCCACGCCTCGACAATTCCAGATCTCGACGCTAGCCCTGTAAGGCACCCCATTTGTCCCTCGTTACCGTTACCATATTGTTTTGCAATATAACAACTCCCTCATGCCTTTTCTCATTGTATAGATATGCTTCGATAGTGCAATCTTCGTTCGCTCAATCAAGTCCACTAATGGTAACAAAAAGATATGGTTGAGGAGGTTATTCTAAAAATTAAGTTGGGGAGGTTGTTCTAAAGATACTGAAAATCCTTTAAGAGACGCGAATAAGGAACAGTGAGGTGAGGGGCACTTCATATTAGGAACATTCGGAACTCACTTCCCAACAACTTTTGGTTGGTGTGTGACGGCTCACCCTAGTTAGGAAAGCCACAAATGCAGCCCACTCGTAGAAGTACTAGTACCGGCTTGGCGCTTTTCGTGCGTCAGAGTCGGTGGGGCAGCGAACCACTTAGATAGGCCGAAAGTCAGTTGCGGGTGGGGCCCCGAGGAGACAAGGGTTGAGGAGGAGGCGAGGGCCAAATTAGTTAGGGATTTTTGTGATGATTGGGGGGCCGGCTGCCGCGGGCTCAACGGCGACGACACGTGATCGTGAGCGCGTGCAGCGCGCGTGGGCATTGGCGTGGTGGCTCGCCGTCCTTGTCGCGCCCGTCGCGATGGTGAAGGCCGTGCCTCTCGAAGCCACTCAAGGCAAGTGTGTCTCTCGAAGCGACTGGCTCATTTTAATCAATGATGGAAATTCGCGTGGAAATCGCTCCGAGACCCCGCGGCGGGCAAGCGGAAGAGCCGCATCAAGCATCAACATCATGCCTGGTTGCCACCGAAATGGCGTATCTTACGGCGTATGATCCGCTGGCTCGCTGCACCGCTGTCACCCCACACGCGCCACCCGTGCGGCGGCATGACCGCCTGGCAGGCCAAGGGACAGAGGGCGAAGGGCGAAGGGACACAGGCGAAGGACCCAGACCAAAGGCGAAGGACAGAGAGGAAGGGCGAAGGACAGAGAGGAAGGGCGAAGGACAGAGAAGAAGGGCGAAGGAGAGAGAGGAAGAAAGAAGGACAGAGAGCAAGGGCGAATGACAGAGAGGAAGGGCGAAGGAGAGAGAGGAAGAAAGAAGGACAGAGAGCAAGGGCGAATGACAGAGAGCAAGGGCAAAGGGCGGAGAGGAAGGTCGAAGGACAGAGAGCAAGGGCGACAGAGAGCAAGGGCAAAGGATAGAGAGAAAAGGGCGTCGTACACAGAATAAGGGCGAGCAAAGGGCGAAGGACAGAGAGCAAGGGCAAAGGAAAGAGAGCAAGGGCGAACGACAGAGAGAAAGGCCAAAGGACAGAGAGCAAAGTGCGAAGTACAGAGAACGAGGGCGAGCAAAGGGCGAAAGGATAGAGAGCAAAGGGCGAAGGACAGAGAGCAAAAGGGTGAAGGACAGAGAGCAAGGGCGAAGCACAGAGAGCAAACGGCAAAGGACAGAGAGCAAAAGGGCGAAGGGGAGAGAACAAAGGGCGAAGGAAAGAGAGCAAGGGCGAAGGACAGAGAGCAAAGGACGAAGGGCATAGAGCAAAGGGCGAAGGACATAGAGCAAAGGGCGAAGGACAGAGAGCAAGGGCGAGGGGCAGAGAGCAAGGTCGAGGGGCAGAAAGCAAGGTCGTGGGACCTGCTAGAGCACCAAAGACAGGCACAAGGTGTGAGAATGTTATGTATTTTTATTTTTTGCAGTAGTGCTGTGGGTGACCTCCCATCCCAGCACACGGTGTTGACATGTTTGTCGGCCAGAGCAGGCTCCATAAGTGCTTCGTCCCTGTGGGTGAGTTTTGCGACAAGCGTTGCAAAAGAGAGGCGAGATGGAGCGACATGGGCAAGGGCGACACAGGATGGCAATCACTGAGCGTGAGTCGTCTTCAGACCGATGCCAGCCATGGGGTTTGTTGTGGAGAGTTTCCAATCCTTCCAAGAGAGTCCCTCCCCATCCTGCCTCACCCCCCCCTTCGCTCTCCTGACCCCACCCGCTACCACTCATTGCAGTGCAATTCCTGCAGGAGTGCCAGGCAGCATGGGGGCAGAGCATCTCCGGGTGGAGTGGTGAGAGTCCGGACTGCAGCAGTGCCACGGGCCTCGCGTGCGATCCCTCCGGCATGATCGTGATCATGTAAGGCGATGAGAGAGGCGATGCGAGGGAGGCTATGGGAGTGAGAGGATGGGAGTGAGAGGATGGGAGCTTAGTTGGCAGTTTTACGTTTTTTTTGGTCACGCAAAGGTGTAAGTTTACCTTTACCTTTCACTACTCGTAATTTAGATCGAAGTTGCTCGGGCACGGCAAAAGAAAAAAA